GTGTGCTACCATACCCGGCTAATTAAAATGTTGCAACTTTTTAAGAAAAACAACTCTCAATAAATAAATTGATAATTTTCATAAGAGCCCTTTGTCAACTGACTAAAAACACCCTTAATTTAGAAATGTATTTTTTAGTTTTAAGATAACTAGTCATTAAGTGAAAACACTTTAGGCAAAATGGTGCTAAGCAATTTAGTATCCATAGAAATGAATCCATTCCTTGAAAGCATCGGTCGCTGGGTGCACTTGTCCTGGATGAGCAGACATTAGGCAAATCAGTCTTTCACCAGCAAACCCTGCCATAAGAACTGCACAGGCCTGACTCCTGCCAAGCACACCAGGACCCTGAATGGGGCACAGGCCTCCCTTATGGAGCAGGAAGGAGGAGGCAGGGAGAAATGCAGGGCCCATGATTTAAGGAGGCTCTCCCTCTCAGGCTCATGCAAGTGCAGGATCAGTACCTAAAGGGGAGCACCGCCCGAAATCCTGTGCCCCAGTTGCCTTAACCCAGTCCAGTCCTGGCTCCTGCACTTCAAAGCTAAGCAGGGAATACCAGCCGGAGGCAGAAGACAGCATGAGAATCTGAATGTACCTCTGCATTTATCTAAAAATAAGAAACTGGACTTCTTCAGTAGGAAATGGCTCATCTTTCCAAATGAATAAAAATACTTACAGCTATGGGTTGAATTATATCAATTCTCTCCCCCAAGTCATGCATTGTAGTACTAACCCCCGGTCCCTCGGGATGTGATGATAGAGAGGTAGGGCCTTTACAGAGGTCATTAGTGACCTAATCCAACATGACTGATCCATGTACAAAAAAAAAGGACAAGATTTAAACACAGACCTGTATAGAAGGATGATGGTGTGAAGACACAGGGAAAAGACAAAAGAGGCCTGGAACAGATTTCCCTCAAAGCCCTCAGAGGGAACCACTTGGGCTGATACCTTGATCTGGGACATCCAGCCTCCAGAACGGCGAGACGGTGAATTTCTGTTGTTTTAAGCTACCCAGTTCATGGGACTTTGTTACAATAGCGCTGGGAAAGGAAAACACCTCTATTGAGGGACTTACTAAAGTCACTTAACTGATGCAGACTAGAGGCCTCACGGTGGGCACATGGCCTCGGGAGCCACATCCATTTTAGTCGCACCATTTCTCACTGAACGCTGACCCTGGTCAAGGCATGTCTCAGGCTGCATGGACTGCTATTCCTTCTACTAAACGACCCTGGCTTCATTCCGGCAAGGGAGGGACTCTTATATTCTGTGGGTTGCATGAGTATCATGTGAGCACCCCCAAAACCTTGATCCCTGCAGGGCTTCTCCAAGGGAGTCCCAGCATTCCTGCCGGCCTCAGGGGCGCGCCTTAGAGACAGGGTGCTCACCCTCTGCTTCTCCAACTGGATTTTATTTTTATTTTGTGGCATGTTTTGTGAATACAAAGATTCACTGTCTGGGTGTGCCCCTTGAAAGGAGGTTTCAATTGCATTCAGGTGAAATAACCACAAAATGACTATAAGCCAAATGCAGTAGTATGATAGAAAAATGGAAAGATCGTAAAAGCAGCAGTCCGTAGACACCATGCCTCTGGTTCCTCTGGAAAAGGGAGAAGAGAGTAGATGGTGATGGAGAAAAGAGGGGCTGGTGAAGACCACAGAACTAAGAAGGCAGTAATTCTAAAACCTCCACACTGTAGGGCCAGGAAAGGAACATTGCTGGGCAATGGGGCATCTTATCTGAGGGGAAGTCAAGGGTGTCATGTAGAACCAACATAATTCATCCAAGTACAGCAAAGAATCCAGAAATGGTCTGTGGAGGTTTGGAACCATAAACATCAAATAGTAGAGACACAAAATATTTACATATCCACATTTTTTAAAAAGGGTCCTGACTAGGCAGCATAGGATTATTCGGGTTCTGTTCGTTTTACCTTTAATTGCCCTTGGTTCTGCCATCTTTTTTCTCTGTGAGTCATTTGTCTTGCTTTTGGTCAGCACGGCTTTCCTCGGGTCTCCAAAGATCCTGGAATAACCTGAATATAAGTTCAAGAATATTAAACCTTATTTTGTTTTCAAATATTAATGCCAGGGATCAACTGTACATGTACCGACAAAACCTATTTCTAAACATTATTTTAAAATATCCTAAAAGGGGAAAGAACTTAAATCCTTCCCTTTAAAAAAAAAAGAGGGGGTAACATTCCTCTCCTCTGAGGGAAGCCCAGCATTATGAAGCAAAAATTGGGAGTGAAATCAAGGCCAAGCTAACTGGCATGCTGAAGCACACATACACTTTTACGCAGAAAATATTTTGAAAATGTTTTCTTTTCCTTACAGCCCCCAGCTTTGGTAATAATGGCTTCCCCAGATCATTCTGTTAGCACTTTCTGCTGCTCAGAACAGGGTAGTGGGATTTAGAGTTTAGAAAACATCCTGAGAACTGTAATTAAGCAATTGTCTTAGTCCCAGAAAAGAAACAACCCTTTTACTTTGTAAATGCTAGGACGATCCGTACTTTTTTTTTAATCTTAGAACACTAACAAGCTAAAAAGATAGAAGGAAAAAAAACTTTCTTACAATATGCCTGCTAGCACAGCTCCAAAATCCAGTCTCTCTCTCTCTCTCTTTTTTTTTTTAGATACGGGAATTTCTTAAACAACTTTCCAAGTAAAATATTCAATCCCAAAATACTATATTTAGTAGAATCCCTACAAAACGAGAAATTGTAAATGGCATCTGTTTCCATTGAAAATATTTTTAAATTAGAAAACATCTTAAGTACTGCATCAAATCAATATTTGTAATGGGCAGAATTATTTCTAAATGGTTCCACAGGCCAGTTGACAATCCCACTCTACTTAAGAAGCCTCCAGCCTACTCCACCTGAAGTCTTCCAAACCTATGCATAGAGACAAATTACCCAAATGTCACAGAAAAGCATTTGTTGTGATACAGAAAATACAACATAACGTTATTGGGGGAAAAAATCAGGATACAAAACCACACACATAGTATCATCCCAATATTGCACAAAGAAAAAAAAAAATAAATGGATAAAAGAAAGGAGGGAAGGCAGGAAAGAGGATGACCTCAGAGAAGTTATCAAAACGGTTAACAGTCACGGTCTTTGGCTTTCCAGTGTGAAATAGGAGTTCTTATTTTCTTCTTTTTAAAATCTTTCTAAAATTATTTATTTTTTAAACCAACTAATAAAAATTATATATATATATATTTACTGTGTACAACATTACATTTTGAAATATATATACATGTTGGAATGGCTAAAGTAAGCTAATTAACATCTGCATTACCTCACATATTTATTTTTTGTGGTGAGAACACTTGAAATCTTACTCTTACTGATTTTCAAGAATGTAATGCATCGTTATTAACTACAGTCAATAGATAATAGGTCTATTCAAGTTCAAGTCATAGATCTCTTGAAATTACTCCTCCTAACTGTAATTTTGTGTCCTTTGACCAACATCTCCCCAGTTCCCCTACACTCAACATCACTAATCATCAAGGAAATGCAAATCAAAAGCATGATGAGTGTCATCTCACATTTGTTAGAATGGCCATTATCAAAAAGACAAGTGTTGGTGGGGATGTGGAAAAAGGGAACTCTTGCCCACCATTGGTGGGAATGTACATCAGTACAGTCATCATGGAAAACCGTATGGAGGTTCCTCAAAAACACAAAGATCAATGACAAATCAAAATACTGTATGTTTGACAAATGTATTACAAATCAATTTTGTATGTATTACAAATCAAAATACTACATGACTGCTGGGGATAGATCCAAAGAAAATGGAAAATGAAATCAGTATGTCAAAGAGGTACCAGCACTCCCACATTCACTATGGCATTATTCACAGCAGACAAGGTATGGCATCAACCTAAGTGTCCATCAACATAAATGCCCATAAAGAAAAGCAGTGGGCTGGGCGCGGTGGCTCAAGCCTGTAATCCCAGCACTTTGGGAGGCCGAGACGGGCGGATCACCAGGTCAGGAGATTGAGATCATCCTGGCTAACACGGTGAAACCCTGTCTCTACTAAAAAATGCAAACACTAGCCGGGCGAGGTGGTGGGCGCCTGTAGTCCCAGGTACTCAGGAGGCTGAGGCAGGAGAATGGCGT